CGGTAGTTACCACACTAGCCACTGCTTTGGCATACAGTAGAGATTCCATTTCGACAAGGCGAAATTGGGACCGGAGCAGGCCACTTTATCAGAGAACTCTGATAACTGGTGTAAGAACCAGATTTTCACTTATTAACACTTTTGGACGATGCACCAAAATGTGCTGGTTCAGTGGATTTTACTAAGGGTTTATTGTCCAATATAACAAGCAGGCAGTTACACGATGTAAGCAGCAAGCAAATCAAAAGCGTCAGGAGGAGGAGCCAAAGGCCCCAATCCTTTACAAAAAGGTAAATAAGAAACGAACAGCTGCGACTACGTTCCGAAGGTCGTGGAATTCCACGACACTGCGGCGGGCCGCGAATACAACAACATATGAGCGCAAACAAAGATCATCGTATGGTAGGCTTCGCACCACTTTTCTATTGTGTCGTCGTCGTCGTCGTCGCCGTAGTTGTCGTCGTCGTTGTCGCCGTTGTCGCCGTTGTCGTCGTCGTCGTCGTCGTCGTTGTACATAGCAGGCGGAAATTGTAAATAGGAGTCTCGATAGCGGGAATACAGCAGCGGAGTAAGGAATATAGCAGTACAAATAAAAGGTGGAGTAATATTGAATATAGAAGTAGTCGATAGCGATTATGAGGGCCTGTAGTCCGGGGCAGGGATCATGCGGGGAGGGGTGCCGTCGTTTGACCAGTCGTCGTAGTTGGTAGAGACGGGGCTGGCTGGGGGTGGATTGAGGTGATCTAGGGTGAGGTTCACTCTAGCTTGGAGATGTTCAATGGCGTTTCTATTGAACGCTATCTCTTCCTGTAGTCGACGTTGATTCTGGAACGAATCGTGAAGCATGTTGACGTAATTCTGCTCTGAGGTAGCCCAATTGGGTCAGAACAGCTTCGAGCTGGAAAATAACGGTGTTCATCTTGCGAGTGGAAGAGTACTGAGCCTCAATGAGAATGGCATGGGTGACGGAGTCATGTCTTTGAACATCTGGCGAGGACAACGGCCTTATACAAAAGAGTGCATGATCCGGAGACGAGTGCTCCGCTGTGAGTTGAAAACAAGCAAAAGGGTGGTGGTGTCTTTATGGATTGGCTACTCGACTAAATAGATAAGGAAAAGGGAAGGGATCGCTACATCTAAGCAGTGTGTATGTGGAAATAATTTAAAATTTGCGTTTGCGTGGTGGACCGTGCTGGGGCTTGTTAGGACAAAGCAGAGTATTGTGGTCATTTCCACAAGAGGCACATGATGTGCCACAATCTTCCTGATGTATGGGCTGAAGACACTTGTGGCAGAGTCGCAAGGCAGAAGCTCGAATTGCTCTTGCTACAGGGTTGGGGTATTTGTGGCAACGACCAGTAGGGTGATTATCTTTGTTATCTTCGATGGGGCAAAAGGTGCAATTTGACCGAGGTGTGGAGCGTTCAAGCAGAATATTGACAGCCGACTGAATGTTATTGCAGAGATATTCGATTCGGTGAAAAAGGGCACCGAGATTCTCGAGATTACTGCGCACATCGGTTGTGAATAGGTTGAAGTCCTCTCGCAGACGAGATAGCGACGAATTAATCGGCTCAAGCTGGATTTCGAGGTCGATTGATTCCATGATAACCTGACGGAATGGTAGTGACAGCCGATTGGAACAGCGGGGGCTAGTTACTGATCTGTAATTACTACTGGGAAGCACATCTGGCTGCAACAAAGCGTATAAAAAGGCTACGTATGTACAAGAAATTTGCTTGCGAAGACGTCTGGAGCTACGCCTGCAGCCGTTTCTTTAGGGTCCCCACAGCCAGAGACACTGCAGAGGCGATGACTTTTAGCATACTTTCCACGCAAGTTGTCAGGATTTTCAGCATAAGGATGATCACTGCAGGGCCTGCAAGGTAAGTCAAGAGGAGCAACAGTGTCGTAATCCCGAATATGCCTACGGACAATTTCCAATGGTTTCCTATTGCTGATAGAATAGGTGAAAAGTCAGGGATCTTCAAGTCCGAAAACCAGGTGGAGTCGGATTGCAAAGACGCACCTTGGGAATTGAATATGTCTTCATCGCTGGCATTTGGCAAGAATGCTAAAGTTCCGTTGAGATCGATTTGCACGGGTTTATTATTGCATTGAGCATAACATTTTTGATTAATTATTGCTCTTTGAAACGCTAGGATATTATTCGTTTCTTTTGCTGTAGGCCCGCATTCTGTCGAAAAGATATTGTCGTCACACTGAATAACCACCCACGTAGGTTCCTTTGTATAGCAGCGCACGGAGACTATAGCGCCCTCTTGACAATCATAGCACCCATGTAACGAGGAAAAATCAATTTTACAGTCTTGCTGTAATACGTATTCGGCACTGTTGCGCAATGCCGAGGCCTCCATTGATACCGTAACTTCTGCGGCAGCTAGGGTGGCAGCTACGAGTCCATTGCTGTTGCCGATAATTACGTTTGCAGCGGTAATTGGCAAGACATTCGATATGGAAGAGCGCAGATTATATATGGTCTCTGGAGGGCAATGGCATTGAACTGGTGACTTGGCCGCATCACAATCGCATATTACTTTGCTGTGGCACTTCTCAAAATGATTCAAAGCCATAGATACCGTAGGACATTCGACTGGTAATTTATAATGGTATGGAAGGGCGAGAGTCTCGTTGTGTGAGGTTATAAACCTGGTGTCCAACAGCGGGACTTGTAATCTCGCTAATGATGTGACAGTAATTGACATGTCGTCAACACGCTCTGCTACGTAAGGTGTTAGGACCAGATCTTTCTCTACGTTTTTGCTGAACAATGACGAACGGATCATTAAGCGTACGATGGGTTTCCATTCCAAGCAGTCGAACGCTTCATATACATTGCTTGACTGCGGTAGATGTGCCACTTTATAAAAGGAGCAGGCTGGCAGGGGTAAAAGGCAGCCGCACGCCAACCCTCCACAGGACTCGACACAACCAGTATATCCCGGTAAGTACGCTGCGGAAGCCAGTTCTGGAATTATGCTGTTATTGTCCATTTCGGCACATTGGTTATGAATGCAAGATCCCCATAGGCTACAACGTTTTTCGCTGAAAGACCTTGTAAATCGTGTCTCTGGTGAAGAATAGCGTCCTTTTAATGCATTGTAACTCTACTGCTTTCCTCTCCACATGGAGCATTCCTACAATTTTATTTGCGTGCAAAATGCCAATGCAGAAGGCTCTATCCAAACTGTTGAACGATATATCTTGCCTAAATACCAAAGAGCAATTGCTATTAGATTCGCATACCATTTCCACATGTTTAGACATATGCCCATGTTGGCATGCCATCATGGTGGGTGCCATCATTGCAATGCAACTTATTGCAAGCGCGAGAGCGTGAGCGCGTCCTAAGTGTGCAGGTGCAAATGTCCTCAGCTGGATGTCTTGGCGCTGATTGTTTTCGCCCGTCGTGCGCTCGCGAGGGCTTTTTCTTTTCTTTTTGACTGCAATGGCAGTCAGCAACACTACACTGATGACTGTATAAAGAAGGGTCGCGACTGACACCAACGCTCCCGCTGGCCAACAGTGGGGGTTGGCCAAAAGATGTTTGGAAAGAATTGACTGAGAGCGCTCACATATGTGAGGCAGGGGACATGTTTCAGAGATGGTTTTCATTCCTATGTCCGATAAATAGCTCAGCTTTATATGTAAGGACCTATTTACCGAGGTGGGAGGCAATTCATAGGATAGAGTATGGAATGTATCCTCAAATGTTCGACATGTCTGACCTATACATAGCTCGAATGATGTTCCAGGTGGGTGGATGGTAAATGAATCTTGAGAACACTTGATGGAGGCTTGAGCAGCTACGGGAGAACAAAGCGCACCAAAAATTGTCAACATCAAAATTGTTAGAAACATGGAGCTTGACTGAGATTTCTTGTCACAATAATGAAGTGTTTGCGCTTGGTGTTCGAGTAGATCTTCAGCCACTCTTCGTATTGTTTCTCTGGCGCGAACTTTAGACTTGCGCTGTGCTCGAGATGTGGATGGATTCTCCGTTTCAGCAACGCCTCTTTCAGGAGGATCTATTCTAGGTGTGGGATCGTGAGAGGTCCGAATCTCCAGGGGATAAAGCAAGGACAATGCGCGATGTAATATCTTTTTATTGGGCATGAGAAGCTTCGCCGATCTTACTAATCCATCGCTGCCTTTAATTAGCTCAATAATTTTTCCGTATTGCCAGCAGCCTCGTGGTAGGTTGTCTTGCTCTATCAATACGATTTCACCGATGACGGGTTCCTTTCTTGTCACATGGCGAGCGCCCTTGCGACTCTTGTGCTGGATTTCTCGCAGCGTTGTGAGGTATTCCTTACACCATCTTTCCCAGAATTTGGTGGCTATACTCTCAGCGTATTTTATGGCTTCTTTTGCTTGTTTGACTGTGCGTATTTCTTCAGGATCATACGAAGGATCTTCATCTTGTCCTTGTGTTACCTCTTCTAGCGCGTACTTCATGTTGCCCTGAAGAAAGTCAACAGGGCGAAGTGGTATTTCGGACATGTCGTCAGCGTCGATCTTTGTCAGAGGTCTCGTATTGACAATGGCTTCGATACGCGCAGTAGCCGTACATAAATCGATATATGAAAGCTTCTTTCTTCCAACTGATTTTTGGAAGGCCTTTTTTACTGTCCCGACTAGCCTCTCCCAGGCTCCTCCCATCCAAGGTGCGCCAGGTGGGTTAAATATCCACTTAATCCTGTGATCAGCACAGTATGACATGACGGAAGTGCCTGTTCCACCATCATTTTCGAACATCGTGTCGATGATTCGTTGGCCCAGTTGAAATTGGTGCCGCAATCTGACCGAACAAGGAGAGGTACACCCCTACGAGAAACGAAACGGATGAAGCAATTCAAAAATGCTCCAGCAGACATATCTTCTACTGCCTCAAGGTGAACCGCTCTAGATGCGAGACATGTGAAAAGGCATATATACATTTTACTTTCACATTCAGACATTATAGGTCCCATGAAGTCGCAACCAACACTTTGGAAAGGTCGTGTGAATACCACTCTGTCAGCTGGTAAAGGTGGCATTTCGGGAGCTCCGAAGGGGAGACCATGACATTTTCGACAGACGGTGCAGGAACCAAGGAATTTTTTGAATTGTCCAGAAGGTCGTGGTATCCAGAATCGCTGTCTGGCGATGCATAGGGTTTGCTCTTTTCCGCAATGGGCATGTTTAAGATGAATGTCAGTGAGGATTAGCCGTGCGAGATGCGAGCCGTTGTCCACGAATATGGGACATTTCGTATCATACGGTAGTTGAGCGTTCTGAAGTCGCGATTCGTTGCGAATGATGCCGTGTTCATCCTGAAAACTCGCTTCTGTGGGAATCGTTTTTTGACATCCTCAATCCGTACCTGCTTGTGTGCGTCGGCGAGTAATACTACTTCGCTGGCGTTGATATCATCGCTGTTTATTTCCCACTCAGGAGTGAATGAGAGTAACTTTGTCAGTACGATAGGCTTGTTTGTTCTTTTGTTTGTTCTGATTACCCAATGACGAATGAGCTTGCCGACTCGTGCTACAGCTCGTAGAGCCTTGTCTAATCGAGAAAACCTTTCAAGATGGAAGAGATAAGGTTCTTTTTCCTGAATTGTTGCTAGTTCAGTAGTGTTTAAAGATGGTATTGAGTTATCGAGCTCAACTACTGAATCGTGTGTCGGCACTACAAAGGGTATTTCTCGTAGCTGCTCAGGCAGAGTTGCATTTGCTAACCACTGTGGCCCCTCAATCCATTCGGATGTTCTCACCTGGTGTGCATCAATGCCACGAGTTCCTGCGTCGGCCGGATTCAAGGGACGTGGACACGTGGAAGAATGCGACTGCAATCCCGTTGGATTGAAGGAAGTCTACTATTTTCCGTATGCGATTTACTTGATTGTCTACAAAAATGGGCAAGTTTTTGGATGACTGTATCCATGCAAGTGCTATTTCACTGTCACTAACGATGTTTACGCTTATAATATTTGAACCTGCTGCTTCGACTATTGTTTTAGAAAGGCGCGCAGCTAGCAGGATGCCGAGTGTTTCTAAGCGTGGTATAGTTTGCTTAGTTTTGGTTGGGGTAAGCCTAGTTTTTCCACTAATAAGCGTGCTAACTTCCATGGTGTCTTCATTTTTGAGGAAAGCACAGGTAGCTAATGCCATTGCGCTTGCGTCAGCGAAAGCCCATACGCTTGTTCTGCATGCTTTATTAGTTACAAACCTAGGTACTGATACGTATGCACCTTTGATAGTATCAATAGCATTATTCCATTTAGTCGTGAGTGTCTCCGATACCTGCTCATGCCAACCTATTCCAGACTCGTACACTTCTCTCATGATAGACTTCATCTTTATCATTAGGGGACTTGCGAGTCCTATGGGGTCGTATATCGAATTAATCTGACTGACCACATCTTTTTTCGTGATGTTGACTTTTTTTGGAAATGAGACGGTTAAGTGGAAACTGTCCGAATTCGTATTGTATTCGACTCCGAGAAGCTTGATATCGCCACCCGTTGTACGGTCATGTTCAGGTATAGCCGCGTTGACTTCTGGAGAATTTGATATGAATTCGCGAAGATTCATTCCGATTTCAGCGAACAGCTCTTTAGCGGCCCTATACTTGGTTAGAGCTTCCTGCGGATTTTCTGCGCTCAACAAGATGTTATCAACGTAGAGGTTCTTCACAATTTCCCTTGAGAGAGGGGTGTTCTTTGAGTTCAAGAAGGCGAGAATACACATGTTCAGAATGCTGGGTGATGGTTTTACCCCAAACGGCACGCGATTGAATCTGTATTCGCATACGTTTTCCCGTGTTGGAGGAGCGTCAGGGTTCTTAAGCCACAAGAATCTACACAGATCTTTGTGGGACTCTATTAGGCGGATTTGAGTGAACGCTGCTTCTATGTCACATAACAGAATGATCTTACTTGTTCTGCTAGCCACTAGTATGTCATGAATTTTGTTCATGTACGCTTCTCCTTTTTGCGTCACATCATTGAGGGATAATTGGCCTTTCTTCTTTGATGATGCATCGAATACTACGCGTAAGGGTTTTGGCTTGTGCTCTCGCCATACTCCCGAATGGGGCATATAATAAGTCCCCACTGAATTTTCCACATCTCTCTCTACCTTTTCTATTATGTGCTCGTTCTCATAATCGCGTAATATTTTACGGTACCACTTTTTCTGCTCTGGATGTGCCTCTAAGTGCTTGTGCAAATGAATGAGTCGCTTTATGGCTACTGGGTAGTTATTCTCCAGGTCCACTATATTATTCTTAAGTGGGAATGGTGCTGTCACATAGCCGTCATTAAAGGAAATCGACTTCGAGTATTCTTGAAAATAGTCGAGAAGGCTATCTTTTGCACCAAATTCGCTCGCTGATATTCCCATTCCTTCGAGCTCGAAAAGTTTATTGAGGAGCTCTTTTTCAGATTCATCCATAATAGCTGTCATGGAGTGCAGCATATGTTTTGACTCTTCGTAAAGTTTGACTGCTCCGCGACCGTATACAGTAGGACCGAATATGGTTTTCGCTATGTGGAAACCTGAGGGCGTTTGCAGCACCTCCGGGCTTTCGTAAACAAAGTTGTAATAATAGTCAAGTCCAACTAGTACTTGCGGAACCTGATGTTCTCCTCGAAGATTGGTGTTCGAAATAAAGAGGTTCTTGTCCAGTAAGAACTGCTGGTCTGCGTGGCTCAATTTGACTGATGAAAATCCTTTAGTAATTATCGGTTTGGTCTGAATTTGGAAGTCGATGTCTTTTCCTTGAGCTGTTCCTACCCTCAAGGATACTGTTTTGCTCTGAAAGGCCTCGGTGTGTCCGCCAATACCAGACATGACACATGTTTCGGTCTTTAATGTAGGGAGACCTAGATGACTCGCGAATTCCTCTTGGATGACGGTTCTCTGCGCTCCAGTATCGAAAAAGAACAAAGCTTTTTCGAATTGCTGTGAATTGTAATTCCAGATGTTCCCTTCAGCAGTCATCAGCACCACCTGCTCTTTGTTTTTGGGTTCGAAATCATGTTTTTCTATGTTCAGATGACTGCTGGTCGGCATTTCGTGTGCGGACGACATTTTTTTGCGCGCTTCTGTGCTGTTTTTATGGTCTCTAGGGTTGCCAGTGCGCTGTTGTTGCGTGGTTTGATTGTTTTTTAGCGATTGCTCACCACGATTTTCTGCTTTGTTAGCAGCTGCTGGCGTGGAGGAATTGCTACCGTAACATAAAGCGGAATGATGCATTTGACCACATTGGGGACAATTTTGCCGAGTACAGTCTCTACTGCTGTGCTTGTCCGAGTAGCACTTCCAACAAAGCTTTTTGCGCAGCATTATTTGTCTTTTTTGCTGCACTGCGATTGGAGCGTGACAAACCCATGCATAATGGCCTTGCTGCTCGCAAAGTACGCAAAACTTTGGTTTGTCAACGTTTGGTGAGCGCGGATTCTGGGACATGTTTGGTGGTTGTCGTTTTTGTCGATATTCCGTCGTACGGGATTCGACATATTGTTTTGCTGCAATTTCATTGCTAATTTCATCCATGACTTCGTCAACCGTGATGTCATCCTTTTCTCTTACCTTGATTAGTACCTGCTTGACAACGTCATATGGAAACTTTTTTAATATTGTTTCCGTCCACATGGCATCGTTGCTGTTACGAACATTTTGTCCAGCAGAGGTCATTTGGTTTATGAGCATGTTGATCTTGTCGTATACGAACGTACAGCTTTCAGCTCTGCTGTCTGCCTTAGGAAGATGGCCCAGTTGTTGTATAATTTTAGCCCTGTTAATGGGTTTGTTTGAATATCTTTTCTTAAGGGTTTCCACCATCCATTCGTAATTCTGTGGAATGAGCTGAATTCCTTTGACGGCTTGCTCAGATCTTCCCTCTAAGGCAATCTTTCAAAAGCAGCATTTTTTCTATTGTGGCTAATACCGGATTGTTATGGACAAGAGTCTCGTAAACCGCCCAAAATTCTGGAAATTCTTCCTCGTTTCCGAAAAATTTTGGAAGAGAGGGATTAGGTGGTTTGACTACCTTGCAACTCTCGAGTGTCTCGTCACCTCCTTGTTGCCTTGCGCACTGTGCGGAGAGTGGTGATTTTGGAAGCATTTCTCCGGCAGAAATTTGATATCCCAGCCTACGGGCCAGTTTATTCTTGAAGTTCTTGGCTTCTGTTAGCCTGGTATCGAGCATATAGATCATTTCCGTGGCCTTCGATAGAGCGTCGTTGAAGTTAGTCTCACTGTCGATCTTTTCAAATTCGTGTAGGAAGGTCTTTTTTTCTTCCTTTGACCTCAGATTATTGTAGTCATCTTTCATCTGGGTGATGATTTTATTGAGCTCGTTCTTTCCCGAAGTTATTTGCGCAATGCCTCCGCTTATTAAGTCGATCGCTTGTAAGCTGTCCTCGTATTGGTCAACTTCGCTCCCTTTAAATGTTATGGGATGCGCGTAGATTGTAAAGTTATTAACGAGAGTCTTTACGGTAGTTACCGCACTAGCCACTGCTTTGGCATACAGTAGAGATTCCATTTCGACAAGGCGAAATTGGGGACCGGAGCAGGCCACTTTATCAGAGAACTCTGATAACTGGTGTAAGAACCAGATTTTCACTTATTAACACTTTTGGACGATGCACCAAAATGTGCTGGTTCAGTGGATTTTACTAAGGGTTTATTGTCCAATATAACAAGCAGGCAGTTACACGATGTAAGCAGCAAGCAAATCAAAAGCGTCAGGAGGAGGAGCCAAAGGCCCCAATCCTTTACAAAAAGGTAAATAAGAAACGAACAGCTGCGACTACGTTCCGAAGGTCGTGGAATTCCACGACACTGCGGTGATTTGCTACGAACCCTTTCCACACCTTGACACCACCCTTCCTGGCGCGCCCCTCAACTCACCCAACCTACCTACCCATAAAAACTTCAGTTCTCACCTCAAACTCGCATGTGATTTCAAGCAGCGACTGAAACGGGTACGACCCCCCCCCCTCCTACAAACTCGAACTAAGTACGACCCCTCCCGTTGTTACGAGTAACAACGTAGGGTTGACCCTGCTACCCAAGCCCTGATAATTCAATCTGGCGCTGCTATTGTTTAGGACGAATGTCGTAATCGCAATCGGGCAAAATGAGCCCATCGGTCAAAAGCTCCAATGAGTTTTTCTCGGGTTTTGCGACATAGTGTGCCACATTTTCTCATGCACTGATATCTTTTGAACGCGTGTTTTCCACTCTCCACCAATAGGGCTATATCACCACGATTTTCGCGGGTCTCCAGTCTTATTACCGCCCACTCCATGAACCAATTTTGACCCATTGTTCGAATTTATTCTGAATGATTGACCCGTTTGAGAATGAACAATTTGTGTCGTGCAGTTTGCGCGCGCTCCAATTGCGCGAACTTCCCAATCCTGCACCGATTCAAACATGTGGATGAATAGAGTCTTTTGGGAATTAAATACACACTTCTCGTTCAAACGTTCCGTACAGGGTAGCCAAAAGGAAAATATCAATCTAAGAATTGTAGGGATTTTCTTTCATGGAACTGCCCACTGTTGTGCAGGAGAAGCTAATCGAATTGCACGATGAAAACAACCAGCTGAAAGTGGTCAGTTTTTTCGTACATCGAGTAATTACAATTTCAAAGTTTGTCACGTGGTAGTTGTGGCAGTACATCTGTTTGAGAAGGACGACATTTCCCAGTTTATTGATGCCTTTGATGATTTTGAACCTTGCCTTTATTCATGAATTAAGCGTTATCTTTTAGGAGGTTCAGCGCTTGAGCGGCGAGGCTGCCGAGCAAGAGATGAAATCTGAACGGTTTGGAAGAAGAACCTTCAACTGCGCAATAGAATGAAACAAGGTCACACAGTAGACCCTCAACATGCAGCTTTGCAGCAGAAAATTACTCTTCTGGAAGCAACGGTTTCTATTAATTTGAGAATGGATGTTTAGTAGGCAACTAAAAGTGTGAAATTTCAGATTGAGCAGAAGAACACAAGTTGTCATCGACTGGAAGAACAGATAGAAGTGCTGGCCACGTCGCTACAATCAGCAAATCGCCTAAATACGCCGACTAAGCCCGTCAAAAGCTGAAATTCGTCCACTTTCCGAAAGTTCTGTGTTTCACGAGCCGTCGAACAGTGCTGATGATTGGTAAGATTTTCTGACTTGAAGCTGGAGCAGATTGACAACGACTGTCGGCAGAATTTCATTCATAAAAGTTACAAAGACTTGTCCCGGGAGAGTAGGATCATAGATTTCAAAGGGAGTGTAAACAGAGATGCATTTAGTCACGTCAAAAACGCTTATCATGAAACATTGCAGGGAAATTTCGAAAAGTTTCCAGTTTCTGAGGTTTTTATGAAATTTTGAACTTCTGACTGTTGTTTAACCTAACATGTGCATAGTCTTCCTCCTCTGCGTTTGGGCGAGAGGATTTTTGGTCTTCCACCAATGATCTCCATGCTAAGGAGCAGTTAGTGTGGGGTCGTCTTTGCTATTGCCTTGCAGTTCGTTTTTAGTTTGGGTGTGCAGTACTTACATGTCGATCATGCCTATACTTGTCTGCTACTACAAACATTCGAACAGCAAAGCAGCCGCAAATTAAGACCACATCTCATGTATTGAGCCGTTATAGCCGATTTGGTTTAGGTTGATAATTTTTACTATAGGAACGGCTTCAAGAAGAAAGAGACGATGCCGTATTCGAGTTACAGCGAGCTGCACACCGCATTGCAGCACTAGAAGAGGAAAGGAACGACTATGCTGAACGAGCTGAGGCGGCGTCATCGGAAGCACGTGACATGGCTCGGCATAATAAGGTTTTTATACCTATTGTGCTAGCTAGCGTTTTTTATAGCAACTGAACAGCGTAGTCTTGAGTTCACTGTGAGTTTCTTGGTGCTAAATTTTTCAATTTTCAGGAGCTTCGTGAGCAGCTGCATGATTTGGAGGCCGAACTTGTAGCATCTCGAACTAATACTAATGTTGCGAACAGAGGTAACTCTATGTTTGCCGAAGTGAGTTTACTATGATGTGTAGATCGTTTTCGTTGTCCTAATCTAGAGATTTTTATTAAAGTTTGCGGAGGAACGCGTCAGGCTCGAAGGTGATTTAAAGTTGCTTTACTGCAAGTACAGTGCTCTTCGTAAGGAAAACTGCCAGCTGGCAAACGAACTTGACGAAGCACGCCTGCTAGCTCTACGTCGAGGAAGAAGAGAGGTGAGTAGATCTAATATTTTCGGGAGGTAGTATTCAGTTGTTATCATCCCGAGAAGCTATTAGTTTTTTCCTACCTATTCTCGCATATTTCTCTGCAAATTTATGATTTTTTGAGAACCTTTTTTGATCACTCTCTCTATTAGCTGCAGTAGAACACAGATAGATGCGCACATACATTCTTAAAAGCGCGTGCGTGCATAGTACGTGTGGTCGAGATCTTTTGATTGAGTCCTCGTAAAATCACATCCAGGCATAACTGTTTGAATTTTTTTGCACAATTCAGTGGGCAGGGATCGCCAGTGAAAATCTATGGGTCTTCGGGGTAGGCAGCTTCGTAAGGACTTCACCATCAGGTTCCTCTTCTTATGCCTTCTAATTTTTTATTCGTAGGTTTTTGAAGGTCCAAGAATTCATAATATTGTCACCAATTCCGACCGTTTAGTACGACATAATGCGTGTTTGTTCAGTAGGAGTTTCTGTTGTATAGTATACTTTTCTTTATGCTTTCATTATAAAAATCATCCTCTTTCGTTACAGACTTGTTTCTTTTTTTTCCTCTTGGGATAGCGTGAATTGACTCCGAATCATATCTTACAGAATCAAACCCACCCTAGCCAGTGAACCGACTGTTAGATATGCCCAATTGGGCGGCTTTGTATGGGTATACTATAGGATTCTGGCAAATTTGAACCAATATAGGGTCTCTGGACCACAAAGTCCCTAATTTGGATCACGATCAGAAACCTGAGAAAAGTTTCTATCAAACTTGGATTCAAATGTGATCTGTAGCAGCTGTTACCGGCTAGTGTAAAAGAGCGTTTCCCTGAATTCAAAGAAGCATGAGATTTCGCGATGTTGCTTATCAGCGTAATGTGAAAAGGGTTCTCTTCTAAAAGCACAGTGAAAATCTTATAAGCATGGGAACCCTATAAGCGTCGAAAGTAATTCATTCAAGGGAACGCAGAAGTGTCGATGTCAACAACTGTCAGCAGAACTGGTCGAGCTCAGAGGGAGAGTTCGGACACTTGATGACCGATTGGCGAGCGCTAAAAGGGACCTCATGGATAAAGCTATAGAAACAAGTGGCATAGATGCACTACTGAAGTGCTCCTACAAGTCTTTGAAGTATGATTCTTGTTTGCCATTTTCGAAGGGTAGTATTATATGATTTCTTGCAGGTTAGAGATGGAATCACTACGACAAGAGCGCGATAAACTGCGCGTTGAACGTGACAAATTTTTTGACGAGAATGCTTCTCTTGCGGTCAGTTCACTAATTATTTTTCCTTTTTTCCAATTTGGAAACGTTTCCTTCCTTATCTGTACTTCCATCAACCTTGAAACTTGTTTTTTTTTCTCGAGATTTGAAGAACTGTACCAGTGAACGGGGGCAGGCTTGTGAATAGAATATTGATAGTCTCTGGAATTATAACGAATAGCATTGACGATGTAGGGGCTTATGGCAGAGTTGGGTTGGATCTGTTTTTTCGCAAACTCGCTCCGCCATTCTCATGGCCTCGGCGGGGGAGAGACATTCTTCGTTTGTATGTTTAATGAGTAATGCAAAGGATACCTGCTGCTAATTTCTTGTTTGTTATGCTGATTTCAAGGCTCGTGCTGCAAATGCGGAAACGTTAATGGGCTACGCCAATGATGATATTGAAACACTCAAAATACAATTGGCTATGTTCAGAGAAAGAGAACAGAAGAAAGATGCTGAAAAAGGTAACCATGATGGCGCTCCCTGCTTTAGCTGCTCTTTCTATTGTCATGGTGCTGGTTGATTCATTTGCATGGTTTCGGTCTCTTTCGGCTTCGCAGCTCATCCATTGCATAAAATAATTAGAAATGTTAAGTTTCGAATTTGGTCAATGGAGAAGACGGCGAGGTTGAAGCAGATATGTGCCCAGTTATCCCTCCTCCCAAGTCGGCACCTACACCCATGGAGAAACAAGTGAGTCACATTTTTTTCTTCCAAAAACTCGGTAATGGAATGTAGTGTGTTTCTGAATATCCCATAGACATTTTGATTTTAACTTCCAGGCTTTGTTCGTGCAGGCGCAAACACCTGCAGGACGGCAAGCTTCACGTGAAGGACCCTACCTATGCACTCCTTTTGCCACTTCGAAGACACCTCTCGCTGCTACGGATGAATTTTCTTTTTACCATGATGAACACAGGTGACCTCTCATACATTTCATGAACATACAACATACAACATAAATCACAAGAACGCTACCTCCAATCGTTCAACGTGCTTGTCTGTTTCCGGTCTGTTCTGTCCACCAGTTGTCACTTGTAGAAGTTGTTTTCGGCTGCTCATTCAACAACTTATTTTCAGCTCATTCGGTAACCTGTCTTATACCGTTGCGGAGCCCTTGTCTGAAGTCCGGCCTAAAAAGATCAGAGTGCGTCTTCATCATCTTAATAAAATTCTTACTTGATCACTTGACGCCTCTTTGATCATATTTATCTCCTGTTCCATGATTGCGTGCCACTTGTGCTCTATTTTACATTTTCAAGACAAAACTCGCGATAAGACCCCATGTTGGGAAGGAATTAAATTTAACCCTCAGAGTTGAAAGAATAAATAAAAAAACGTTTTAGATAGGTAAATCATGATGCAGTAGAAGCGAAGAAGTGCTTTTACCCTAGTTGAGGAAGTTGCAAAGAGTCAAAATATCTTGGAAAAGAAGCGTCACTCAGATAAGCCGAAGGACTGTAAAGCTTTCTAGTACGCTGATATGTTTAGGCTTCGTTCTAAAAACGATCTTGAGACTCATTTATGACGAGAGAAGTATCTACTTACGGCGGAGTGTTCGAGAGAGTTACTATCAGGTATCGTCATGATTATTTTCTCTCTTGTCGTCCGTGTCTACTCGACAACTCGCGCGAATTTTCCGCAATACTCATTCTTTATCGTCATAATATCAGCTAGGGAATCGAAGGTTACTTTACATTGAAGTCTTCAGGCCATCGATCTATTGGGATCATGGTGTCAGGTGATTTCCGTGCAGGATTAATTTAATGGTTAATTGGACGCCCGAGCTTGCAACGGGGAGAAAGAATGCTACAGAAGTCTTGGTGGTGAAGCTATTGAGACATTCGAAAGGGCAGCACTTATGGAATATGTATTAGGAAATTATGAATGTGAAGATTCAAGAAATACTGCGTTTGTTTACCAGGCATGTGGTGCTGCTATCTTGAAATATGTACTCTTTATAGTTCCTGGACGTTGAGCAGAATGATGATGAGGATGCTCTGAGAAGGTGTTCTATTAGCGCAAGCGAGCTTCGACGACTGCAACGTAAGCAAGCACGGAAAGGAAAGTCGAAAGTTCTACCGGTTTACGATCCTTCAGGTAAAACTCATTTCCTGACGCCGGTTAAGAATTGCCAGTAGCCGTTGTTGTGTTACTGTAATCAGAACTATCAGGTTAAAGGCTAATCACTCAATTCTTTCTGGAGAACTGTTCTCGTTTGCAGGAACATGAAGGGGCAGTACTCAAAACCACGTTTGTATGTCAAAGTAGAGTCCTACCAATTGGTGTGGTCTCTCGCGAATCTCGTGATGCGGTTTCATGCGAAAGCCATAAAATTTAGGAGCTACTCGAAAATACAACATTGTCGGAAAAATCAAATCTAAAATGAGTGTAGTCAGTACAGCTTGAGCAAATTGTGGATCCAATTCAAGTCTGTTTGATATATCACAAAAGAAGGGCTTGAAATTTGATCACATAAGCGAAATTCTGATAGGAAAATTCCTTTTTTCGCGAAAGGCCGCCGATCTAGACAAAACAACTCGGATTAGCTCGTGTTTATCAAGAAAACTACCCAAACTAGCTGTATTTTTTACAGGAAAACTTTTTAAAGGAATCTTCCACGGAAAAAGCTCCGCCCTCATTACCACAGAAAACGATACCTTAAAGGAATCTTCCACGGAAAGAGTGATCATTTTGTCTTGTGTGTAGGATTAGTATTATCGAAACTAACGCTTATGTTCCGTTCTTTTTGCTATGCTCATGAGGCTAGGGGCCTAAGGGGTATCGTTTTTCTGTGGTAATGGAGGCGGAGCTTTTTCCGCGGAAGATTCCTTTAACCGTTGCGACACTGGTGCACAAGTTGGTTCTCTTTTCAGAGAAAACTACCGTGAAGCTATCACAGCCTTCTGTGATTCCTAGTCTTCCTCGTGACGAAATTCCTGGCTGTTCTGAAAATTTCGAATTGCCGTGCTCCTCTCTTGAAAAGCAGTCGCCTCAATCGACCGAAGTAGAACTTCCAGGTAATGTTTCGGATGCTGAAGTAACCAAAAAATTTTTGTATTCTCGTGTGAAAACTTGCAAAGTTATTAACAAAGCGGTAACGGACTCCTCTAATTTCTGC